TTTTTCTTTTTGTTGAGCTCAATTCACATCACCTATCCATGTTATTTCGAAGTTTTAGGACTTTCGTTCGCGCTTCATCTCTTTCGAGAAGATATTGAAGGCTCTTTTTTCTCGTCTTTGCCAGGTTGCCCTCGGGTGCTGAGGTAACGTAACGAACACAGACTAGAAAAAATAATATCCAAAGAAAGAGTGATGAGTACATTTAGGAAATATGTGATGAAGATGTCGAATTGTCATGCTGTTGAAAAAAACGTCGGATAGCCTCGGGCTATCCTGACTTCGTTCTCATATTTCATTGGAGAACAGTTCGTAAAACTTTAACGTGTTTATCTCGTTGCATTAGATCGAATCAGATTGCCGTGAAAATGAGAAGAGTGATTCCCCGAAGACTGTGCACTTTCGTTCGTCGTCAATCATAGTTAACCCTGTTCATCGATTTTTAGTTCCCTTTATAGTGTTCTTTATGGTCTGACTCACTGTCTAGGTCGATGAAGAAAGTGGCAGCTTACTCTTCGCGAGAAGCATATTGAAGAAGACAAGGTTACAGTTAATTTGAGGGGATGATTAAGAGTAGTAACTGCACGAATTGTGAATTTACGATTGTATGCTATTGTCTTTATTTTTATCTTTATTTTAGAGAACGTTTGATGAAAGGAAACAATGTGAGAATTTACTAGCCGCAATGCAAATTTATTCTCGAAGTGTTACGAACACAGTTTGATGACAAGCATTTAGGGATTCTGCAGAGGTATCAACAGCGAGACCCTTAACTATTCAAGTCGTAACCCTTCCCAATTGGATTTAATTATGTCATTGTGATCGATCTGTTTGCACAATTTACCCGTTATACTACGTGCTATGATTTAACAATATTCTTCCAGTACAACTTGCGCGCACATTATCGCAAATACTAATTATTAAAGTTAATATTTTTCAAGCTGCTGTATAAAGCTGTGGAAAGTTTATGTTGGTGCCTGTGACGCGTGTAATCATAGTGTATAATTTTCCCCAGTTTTTAATTACTTTTAGATTTTCTTTTGTTTATTTATTAATTACTTTCGTAAGCCGTGTTTTAATATCCATTGCTCTAAATATATATATATATATATAT